TGTTGCTGTAATGTGAGATTGTGCAGACACCCTTATGTAAAATAGAGATGTAACTGTTCATTGCCCTTATTTTTATATAAATATGGTGTTAGTGCAAACATTGCACTATAACTTAAGCTGAAGCTAACAGTAATAACTATAAGATCTATCTGAAATAAATAAGTGTACTGAAACAAATACCAATAACTGTATTGCATTGTTTTCTTATGCGCAATTACTTCATACTGTCTAGTTCTCTTTTTCGTCCTGCATTTAATGTGCCCCCCTCAGAAAAGAACTGGCCCCCCAGTGGCCCCCCCAGTCAAATTGGTCTAGAACCGCCACTGGTGTGGAGCCCACGGGGGGGATCATGTACAGCAGAGTGCACACTGCCCCAATTGCCCCATCCACCTGCTGTTGACCTGTGCCTCTGCCTATTGTTGAGTGACTGCTACCAGATATGTGTTAGGAAAACTGGCCATGTGAAGTGGGGGCTGTGGGGAAGGAAGTTTGTGGTTACTTTTGTAGTCACTGCCCACCTGCTGTTTACTGGAACACATGGTTATAAACGTAGGAAACTTCTTAACATTCAGATGTCACTGCATCTTAAAGTGCTTTAGTTACTGATTTCAGTGATTATATATAATGAAACTCATATATATATAAACTGTACATAGTTTACACATCAACGTTAGGTCTTTCAAACTGACTTTCTTCACATAAATTGCTGTACAGAAAGGGATGTGAGCAGAAAATGGAAAATCTGTGGGTGTGGAGTTCGAAAGAAGTGAATTTAGCAGATCTGTATAGCCCGCTCCTCATCTCTGCTTGAGGCTAGCAGCCCAGGATTACATTGCAGAACTATGGATACTCTTGCATGGTGGATAGGTGCCAAGTTGTGAAGAAGAAAGAAGAATGTGTGGAATAAAACAAGACACAATGCCTGAGCTTTCATGTATGATCATTTATAAAGAATGGACCAAAACACAAGGACTGCTTTTGAGTGCAGAAATAGCATTTTCTTATTCTAGTGGGCCTTGTTAGACTACAGTGATAGACAAAATGTGTGTGCCGCCTGTGAAAGGCTGTCAGGCTGCTCAATCTTACACATGGAAGTGTGTGTTGGCAAAGTACATTGCTGCCTTCCACAATGTCCTTTCTGATCCAAACAATGGGTTTGTTAACAATCTGAGATGTCCACATTTTGTGCTTTAAACTTATTTTTAAAGGGGCTTATTTTCAGAGAAAGAAAACTCCCTCTGGAGGGAACTTTGAGATGTTATCCTTTGCAGACCATGCACAAAAACCTATATAACACACTACAGGAAAATGAAAACCCCAGGAAGCGTGGAATATTCTGCTCATTTTAAGCCTTCTATCAGCAGTTCAGAAAGTTAATTTAATTCAGCGGCAGGTTGGGTAATGGAAATATTCATCTCAGAGCCAGGTGTATAGCAAATGTGTGGAGGAGAGGGACTTTAAATCTGTCATGAAGTCATCTGTAACAGTAGCAGCTGTGAATTTAAAACCCTTTAATACTGTCTCCTTATAGGCTATCTCACAGTAATAGATGTGTCTATTATTACTTTGTAACTGATGAGTAGGGCCCGGCACATTTCTGGTAACATTTGTGTTTCAATGTGTTTTCGGGGACAATTGTTTCAATGAGCACATGTTGTGTTTCATTTTAGTGACATAACCAGCACATATTGAAGGTCAGGGACCTCCTGATGTGTGAACCAGTTATAGTCCCACTGCTCAGTGTTTTAACACACTGTCAGCCTCACCACTCAATAATGACGATGTTATTGAATATGTTTTCTGGAGTTTCTCTCCACCATCCCACTAGTTGGTATTTCACAATGGGCTTTAAAAGGATTAGCACTCTGCTGCCAACAGCCACCAGCAGACGGAGGGGTGAAATCGTGTGTGTGTGTGTGTGTGTGTGTGTGTGTGTGTGTGGGTCCGTGTGTGTGTGGGTCCGTGTGTGTGTGTTGGTCCGTGTGTGTTATATGAAACCCATAGGCAGGTCTGGATCCTCTCATATAAGCCTCATGCCTCAGAGACTTATGCAGATGATGTGATGGACTGGGCTTTTGTGGTGCACTCAGTCGTAGCCTTCTGCTATGGCCAGTGACCTTGTCAGGCATTTACTCAAAGATATACTGCGCCATACGATACAATCTGTTGATTGGATTGTTCATTGTCACTGTCATATTTTATTTAGCATCTTTACATACAGGTATTTTCTTCTCCAGAGACTTTATTTGTTGATATTCTACCTCCCCACGGTGTATAAATGGACCATTTTGTGTGCCTTTTGCAGTGCTAATAGCTGTTTAAGTGTTTTGAGAGGCTGCAATTGTTTTCCTTTTTTATGCATTTTCAGTTGTCTCACTATGAGGTCTGATGAATACAATGTATTTCCAATTTAACTGTTTTCATTTACAATGCATGAAATAGCTAGAGAGCAAAACAACTGTCAAATATAAAATTGACTCACAGCTATTCCCTTTTTGTGTGTGCTGGCATATGACTACTTGTGAGGCACAGTCCCCCCCATTGTAAATCAAACTGTTTCAACTGAATAAAGACTCAGTCCTTTGAGAATTAACTAGAGCTCTAGCTTTAATTTAGCTGCTGTGCCGGGTCAATTATATTTTATAATAGTAAATCCTCTCATTTGGAGTGTTTGGAGGGGAATTGAGTTCAATTAATTTGTCTCACTGTTGGTCTCCTTGTCTCTCCCTCTCATTCTCTCTATCCTCCCTTTTGCCCTCCCGTTCTCTTTTCTCTTCCCCTCTTCTCTTTCTTCTCTCAGGTGTCTGGCCCAGTGATTCAGCCCCAGACAGGAGCAGGAGGAAGCTGTGGAAAGGAGGGCCATGGGGGTGAGTCTGGGCCAGGATGTAGGCTGGCTCCTGCCTTTCCTGTTCTTGCTTTTCATCACAGTGTCACCCAGCCATGCTCAAGGATGTCCCCAGCGTTGTGATTGCATTGCGAAACTCAAGACTGTGTCCTGTTTCGGCAAACGCCTGTCCTCACTGCCAGATGGCATCCCAGGGGACACCAAGACCCTGGACCTCACCGGGAATAAACTTCGCTGGGTGGAGCATGGTGACCTGCTCCCATTTACACGTCTTGAAAAGCTGGACCTGAGTGAGAACATGATCAGTGTCCTCGAACCGAACGCTTTTTCTAGTCTCCAGAACCTCCAGTCGCTTTCATTGAGGAGCAACCAACTGAAACTGGTCCCCATGGGGGCTTTCTCACGTCTCTCCAACCTGACTTCATTGGACCTCAGTGGGAATAAGATTGTAATTCTTTTGGACTTTACTTTCCAAGATTTGAAGAGTCTGACAAATCTGGAAGTTGGAGACAATGATTTAGTTTATATTTCCAACAAGGCCTTCCTGGGTCTAGTGGGGCTGAAGGAGTTAACCATTGAGCGGTGCAACCTGACGTCTGTGTCCAGCCAGTCTTTGTCCTACCTGCAAAACCTGGTGACTCTGCGCCTGCGCTACCTCAGCATCTCCAGCTTAGAGGACCAGAACTTCCGTAAACTGGGAAACCTGAAGGGCCTTGAGATCGATCACTGGCCCTTCTTGGAGCACATTGCCCCTCACAGCCTGCAGGGTCTCAACTTATCTTGGCTGTCTATAACTCACACTAACATAACCACTGTGCCCACCTCCGCCCTACGCAGTCTGGTGCATCTCACCAGCCTCAACCTCTCCCACAACCCCATCTCTGTGCTGGAGTCCTGGGCGCTGCGGGACCTTATTAGGCTGAAGGAGCTGCATCTAGTAAACACAAATCTGGTGGTGGTGCAGCCATATGCACTTGGTGGTCTTAGGTCCATCCGTCTTCTTAACTTCTCCAATAATGGCCTGGTGTCTCTGGAAGAGGGAGCCTTTCAGTCCGTCAACACTCTGGAGACACTGCGTTTGGACGGGAACCCTCTGGCCTGCGACTGCCGCTTGCTATGGATCCTCCAGCGCAGGAAGACCCTTAATTTTGACGGCGCCTCCCCAGTGTGCATGTCGCCCGTGGAGGTGCAGGGACGGGCGCTTAACGCTTTTTCTGACTCAGCTCTCTTTGATCACTTTACCTGCCAGAAGCCCAAAATCCGCAACAGGAAACTGCAGCAGGTTACTGCCCGTGAGGGACAGGTGGTGTCTTTTATTTGCAAAGCAGAAGGTGAGCCGGCACCGATGATATTCTGGATCTCTCCTCAACGCCGCCGCATCACCACAAAGAGCAGTGGCCGCCTCACAGTGTTACCAGAGGGCACTTTAGAAATACGATACGCACAGGTGACAGACAGTGGGACCTACATCTGCATAGCTAGCAATGCTGGTGGCAATGACACCTATTTTGCCACACTTACAGTCAGTGGGCTGCCTCTAGATGCAGCTCTTATGGCCAACCGCACGTATTATGCTGGAGACCTTAATGACACAAATCTGAATGACACCAGAGTCTTCTTGAAGTTTACTTTGGACCTACAGACCATCCTCATTTCCACGGCTATGGGCTGTATCATGTTCCTGGGGGTGGTTCTCTTCTGTTTCATTCTGCTCTTTGTGTGGAGTCGAGGCAGAGGGCAGCACAAGAACAATTTCTCAGTGGAGTATTCCTTCAGAAAGGTGGATGGACCCGCTGCCAGTGGAGGGCAGGGTGGGGCACGCAAGTTCAACATGAAAATGATTTGATTATTCTGGACTGTTTCTCTCATTAGTGTTGTTTACAAGCAGTTTCAAGCTAAAGGGACAAGACACTGGATTAGACTTTGTGCTTGAAAATCATTTAATACTGTTATTTATAGTATAATACTGACATTTTATTGAGGAAAAGGTTTGTTACCAAAACTACTGTATATACAGTATGAGATCAAGAAAATCTGCATGGATTTGATATGTGTATTTCTATTACTTAGTTGTGCGTTGTCATTTATTTGCAGAAGAAACCTGGATCATTAATGTGTAAAAGATGTCTCGAATAGACTGTTAAAAGCAACAAAATCAGTCCCACCAGTCTTTAACCTCGACAAATCTCTTGCCAACTCCATCCTCCTGCCCTACAAGGAACTCTGTCCTCTTCATCTCGCTGCTCCATCTGAGGTGATGCAAGGTCTCCAAACTCATGAATACATTATAACAAGGTGGTGCTCAATGAATGCCAATAACTTGCCAATATGTATTTGAATAGTTCCAGCTATATACTGCATATTTAGACGTATTTAGAGTCAGGACTTTAGAGCACTTTTGTCACATAAATACAGAAGCGCTTATTTTTTGCTGATGCTAGGTTTGTATAGATTACATTATACTCTGCAACACTGCCAATTTGACTGGAAAAGCACCATGAAATGTGGTAAAGGGAAGTGACTTCTCATTGGATACCACTAAAAGTTGGTCCAAGCCGTTTTAATCACAGACAGCACTCTGCCGGTTAGGTTTTCAATAGTTTATTCAGTACACTGTTCTATCCTCCTGGTATAAAAAAAAAAACGTTTGTAAAAGAAAAACGCATGTACAGAGTTGGCTTCTTACTTTGTGTATTATTTGTATATTTAAGACTTGTTGGGATGCGTTCATCCCTAAACTGAGTATATCATACTGTATAGGTAGAATAAATATATATATACTGTATATGATGTATTATATGTTTTGTTATCATTGACATTCTTGTGATTGTTTATAGTACTGTGATCAAACCGATGTTTCAATTCTACTGTAATTCTACCGTTAACATATCTTTTTGACATCATTGATGTCCAATCCACCTTATCATGTCCTCAAATCCCTGAGTTTACAGAACAAATCATGAAGGGCGTTTACATCAATTTTCCGCTCACTTGTCTATTTTTGGTTGTAGATGACAGTGGGGAACCAGACTGACCAGTGAGATGTTAAGTGGGTTCTCTTCAGGACTTTCAGTCACGCAGGCGTACAATTAAAATATGATGAAGGTCATAATGTAACAGAGGAAGGAGAGCTAGAGAAGGTGACATCGCTTCAATAAAACAAAGGGCTGGATGGTAACTTGTAACAACATCCTGATAAACTGCAAAGCATTTTGTAAAAGTAACAACGGTTATGTAGATGATTCCAAACTGTTTCAGATATATTGATTAAAATAATACAAAGAATGTAAATCGGTGTATTTTGTTCCTTAGGATTAATAGTTAGTCCTGGCACGTACAGTACAAACATGTGTCAGTGTTGGGCCTTGCAAAGCAATTTGTGGTAGTTTCAATACTTTATGAAAGGCAGAAACTGGGAGTAATGCAGTGTCCTTCATAGTTCAGACAAAGCTTCGTGAGAGTGAGCACAATGAGTTCCTGTTAATATTCTCACCTCAAATAATATCTCTGTCGGAGTTAGGAACAAATATTCTGCAGCTGTAACAGCGTTACTCTGCTGCTCTCTGTTGCTCAGAGACGGTACTGCAGTCTACACTTTTAATGGAATTTGACCTACCTACCCAGCAGTATTTCAAAAATAAATTGATTCCTTCCTTGGCCTATGCTCTTTCACTAAGTTTCATGAAAGTCTGGCAGGTATATTTTCCGTAGTCTTGCTGACAAACACACACACAAACCTAAAATAATATATGTTCATACACATACAACGCACAACAATTTTAACAGATTAAATTCACAATATGGATTTAAAGGTGAAGGTGGGTAGGTAATTTTGGAGAAACCAGCGCTAGAATTTGAAAATACACAGCCGGGAAAAATCTGCCACTTCCTTACAGAGCCCCTCCTCCAACACACACGAACGCGCACATGACCAATGAGGGCAAGAGATAAGTTTGCGCACAAGATGGAAGGCTGACAGGCAGGTAGGCCATCCAGTTACTTTAGCCGGGCCGGCTCAGATGTTTGGTCGTGCTTTTTACAGTACCACAGCTTCCACAGATTACATTTTTTTATGGATTTTTTGTCAAAGCACTTAAGATATTCATTGCTATCGGGATGTTAAGAGCATTCCATGGAATATAACAAAAAGTGTATCTCGAGCCGGTTTCTCAAACTTACCCCACCTTTAATAATTATGAACTGTCAATATGTTACCAGACTAATTTGACATCAGTTAAGTTTTAGAAGTGTAAAACAACAAAATACTGTTCATTGTCCTCTTCTGATGTCATCCTGTAAATATGAAAATCATTGTGTCTGGAAATTGTGCTAGACTGTTTTGTATTGTACTGTTTTATAAAAATGAAGCACACTCTTTATAAAGCATGCTTAATGTCTGCCATGGTGATGTCTTTGCCCTGTCCCATTTTTATAGCAGTCATCTGGTCACGCAACACCGACATATAAACATACACCTGTGACCCCGTCACTGTGAAATAGTGTTGCAAATTTGTATTTTATTTCCAGGAGTTCTTCATATTTAAATATTTTAATCAAATGGATGGATGTCCCATGTACATGCCACATTAAGATATACTTTCATGATTCACTCACGTTAGTGATGTTTGTATAAATACTGCATAGACTTTATGAGAAGAGTTATTATTGTTCATTTTCTATGCATTCATCATAACAAAAATAAACCAAATTTTTTGTGAGCACATAAAAATAGTGTTGCATTCTTGGTTTTATGTGTTTATGGATCCAGACTGTTTGTTTAGCGTTCAAGTTCAATGTATTGGAATTAGTGTAACTTATAAAACTGAACTAAGCCCGGTGAAGTTAGTTTACAGTGTACTGATGTTCTGACTGGTAAAAGGTCACTAAAAGACACATTAAAACGTATACACTTCAGCAAACATTGATGAGGAAGTAGAGTAAAAGAGGAAGATGCTCTGCCCCCAGTGCTCTTATATGTATCTAAATCTGTTCCAATTATATCATTTTTAAAGTGCATCTACCCAAATGTGTTTTGATTATTGTTTCTTACCTTACATGTTTACCTAAACTGTACTGAATGATGAGTCCCGCTAAGATCCAAGTCCAATATGCAACTTGTGATGTTAAAACTTGACTTAAAAATGACTACCAAGTAGACCTCATGGTCTAGTTGCATTCAAATATATGAGAACACAAAATCTCCTTCAGTCACAACGAAAGTCCGAGCACATGATTCATACATCACGATCATTAGTCAGCGACAGCTCGTGCCCTGTGGGTGGGGGTATTGCCACCATATGAACAGACCTCTAAGAAATATTTCACCAAATGAAGATGACACTATTAACTTTGTATTGCTTTTTAATGACCACCATCTTATGAGAAAGGCCCCTCAAGGATTCACACATGATCCGCCCTCTTGGTTCTCGACACTTTAGCACCTTCCGAAACCTGAATATGACTCATCTTAACATATTGCTTTTTCCCAACATCTCTAGCCCGTGGTTTTTGCACCTTCTCGGCATATTTATGCATATAAATAAACCTTAACTATACTGTGTTTCAGGTCAAATCCAAGTCTAATATCCCTATTTATGCATATTATATGATGTGGGGTCTTAATTGTATCCCTGCATTGAAGAATCTGTTATGATTCTCAACTCATTTATTTAAGTCTCTTTTAATCGCAAAATGTAGTATTCTAACAGCAAAAGATAAGAGATCATTTTGTTAACCACTTAAAATGTGTGAAAAAAGGTGCTAAATGTCTGAACATGATTCTTCTCAAAGCTGCCCTTTTTGTAGATAAGAGACCATGAGTTGTTGCTTATGGCCACAGCTTTGTTTAGTTAGAAGAAACCATTTATGATGATTCACTTAATGATATACTCAATTATTGATGTGCATTACACTGCAATTTTTTATTTAAATGTTACTCTCCGGTGAAGATTTCAAGAAACTCCCATCCTACGTAGCTAGACATTTAGCCAAACTACATTAAATTTTATCATGAAATTATTAAATTATGCTTCTCTTTCACTGGAAATCACTGTCCATTTTTTTTTGTAATCCTAAATAAAACATCTGAAACTCTTTGTTTGTTAAGAGTTGACTGTTGTCTTCTATGCTGAGAAGGTTCAACTCTCTGAAGAGAAATCATCATGTGTCACCAACATTTCAGATGAACCACAGAGAGATGTGTCATCAACACGCATTAGAGACACGTCAGACTTTAAAATGTCATTATTACGATGGATTCATAATGTATTTCATTTACTTTGAGTAGACAGTCTCTTTTATTTGGTTTAGAGGGGAAATGTCAGGATGCACTTTAACAGACATGATCTCTACTTCTCTAAAGATATTTCCAGATATACATGGGAACATTGATGGGCAATTGAAATGACGTAACTAAGTGTGTGTGTATAAAAGGCTTGTGTCTGTGGGTAGTAATCTGTTAAGAATGTCACGAGGCTCAGGACCCAAATGCACAACACCAGAAACAGATTAGAATTAACAAGGTCTTTTAATTAAGGTCAAATACAAAACGCTCACTTGGAGGATCAAAAAACTCTAAACCAAAAAACATCTACATGACTATCAAAAATATACTTCACACGATCAAGGGATGACTGGCAGGCTTGACGAGACAAGACGAACTGACACAAGACAAAGGGAGACGCAGACTATATATACACACTAGGTAAGGGGACACAGGTGACAACAATTAAGGGAGGGGCTGACAATCACACTGGTGGGAAAAACACACCAGGGCAGGAATGCTCTGAAACGAGAGGGAAAGGTTACTACAAAATAAAACAGGAAATCACAAGACAAGGCAAAAGACAAAAGGACTGAACTAAATAAATTAACTTAACACAACTGTCTATAGACACCACAGTACCCCCTCCTTTACGGACGGCTCCGGACGGCCCAGCGAGTTCAGGATGGCTTTTGTAAAAATCCTTTATCAGGTTCTGGTCCACGATGAAGCTAGACGGGATCCATTCCCGCTCTTCCGGTCCATAACCCTCCCAGTCCACTAAAAACTGCTGACCCCTTCCTCGTTTTCTGACCTTCAGCAGACGCTTGACAGTGTAGACCAGACCTCCATCAATGAGCCTGGGAGGAGGGGGGGGCTTGGAAGCGGGAACCATTTTGCTTTCCTTGACCGGCTTGAGTTTGCTTACGTGGAATGTTGGATGGACTCTGAGTGATCTAGGCAGGCGCAAACGAACAGACACAGGGTTAATACACTTTTCCACAGTGAATGGGCCTACAAATCTTGGTGCCAGCTTCCTAGAGACTACGTTCAGGGGCAAGTCTCTGGTGGATAGCCACACTTTCTGACCCGGTCTGTACACAGGTGCAGGACGGCGATGCCGATCAGCCGCTTTTTTCATGCGGGCCGAAGTCCTAAGGAGGACCCGACGTGCTGAAGCCCAAATGCCATGACAGCGCCTGACCAGTGCGTGTGCCGAGGGAACCATGACTTCTTTCTCTGTCTCTGAGAACATGGGAGGTTGGTAACCGTAGACGCACTGGAACGGGGTCAATCCGGTGGCAGAGGTAGGCAATGAGTTGTGGGCGTATTCTACCCACGTGAGGTGTTTACTCCAAGAAGCTGGGTTTTGGGACACCAGGCACCGGAGGCAGGTTTCCAGTTCTTGATTCAGTCTCTCCGTTTGTCCATTTGATTGGGGATGGTAACCGGAAGAGAGGCTGACAGAGGCCCCGATGAGGCTGCAAAACTCCCTCAGGTTGTGGTAACAGGAGGGAACATTGGGCAGGTCTGGTAAGTCAGAGGCATGGTCATGAGTTACTTCCTTCGTCTCCACCTCACTACCTGAAGTAACCCTTCCTACAGACAGCCCTTCAACTTCTCCTGGTGAAACCAAACATGTATGATTACATTCTCTTCCCCAACCCTTCACCCTACCAGAACGCCAGTCAATGTGAAGGTTATGTCTTTTCAACCATGGGAAGCCTAAAATCATAGGGTGTTGTGAGGAGTCGAATAAATGGAATGTCATGAATTCTGTGTGGTTGTGATTTATGATAACCTGGACGGGTTCTGTGTGGTGAGTGACTTGAAACAATAATCTTCCATCAAGGGCACTGGCATTTAAAGGTTGAGCTAAGGGCATGGTGACAATGTTCAAGCTTTTGGCAAAATTCCAGTCCATAAAACTTTCGTCTGCTCCTGAATCAATGAGAACATTCTGTGTTAAGGTTTTCTTACCTAATTTTACTTGGATAGGAGTCAGCGTACGAGGAGAGTAGTCAGAAGTTAGTCGGCTCACCAGCGCCCTCCTCTTGCCTGGGGAGCCCCGTCTTTAGTGAGCAAGCGGCCATCAGGTGTCCACGATGCCCGCAGTAGAAACACAGGCCCTGGCGGAGGCGCCGTTCCCGCTCCTCCAGTGAAAGTCTTGCTCGGCCAAGTTGCATGGGTTCCTCTGATGTGGTGGATGGCGTTGTCAAAGGAGGCTTGATCCAGACCCCTGGAAACGAATCCTCCCTCATCCGGATGCCACGAGGAGGCCCCCTGGAGCTTGGTGAACGAACTGCAGGATGTTCTCTTTCTTTTTGTCTATCCCAGAGCCTATTATCTATTCGTATAGTGTAGAGTTATATTTGTATTTATTCATGTTAGCAAACTATGGATAAGCTTAAAATGAGAATAATTTGGGTAAAACTGTGAGCTGCATTTGGGGCCTGTTGACATGTGTTTTTGAGGACAAAGGAAGATGGGGGAAGGGGAGAGCATGTCCTGATTTGCATTCAACTTAGATCTAGCTGCAGTGTTTGTGAGGTTAAGAGAGGTCTCTTGGGTTTCTCTGGTGGTTATCAATAGTAGCAGTTAAGTGAATACTGTTCAAACAATACCTGTGTTTGTGTTTTATATTGATTTCTCTGTTTTATCCTTTCATAAATGTAAGGACTACAAATGGCTATAAACATTCTGGGCTGGTTGGAGTAAACAGGGTTTTATGGCTCTGTGGGGGAGGTGTAGGTATGCAGGCCTTGAGACCTTTGGTTGTAAAGTGAGCCTGTTTGGTTTCCTGCTGCGTTTCCTGCTGCGTTGCGTCTCCCAATGAGATGACCTGAAAAGATGACCAGCTGACCTAACACCAAACCCCTCCTTCTTACTCTGGTATATATCCGGTGGATCCCTGGCGTTTTGCCTCTTCTTCACATGCTGCCCTCGGGTGAAAGTAGCTCTGTAGTATGCGGACTAGAGCAGGAGTAAGCCGGCATTACTCCTTAAGCATTGCAATATAACTGTAATATATCATGTTGTATTGTAATGATTGTATTGCATTGTCATATTGCCATTAAAGTAGATTATTGTTAACGGTTACTTTGTAGATATGGATTCCTTCCTGTATTATAACCAGCTTCATAGGAACGCGCGGAGATTTGAAAAGCGGACCAGTTATCCCTCCAAATCTCCAACAAAATGGTGACCCGACGTCTATAACGAAGCTGGAGAAGAATTCAGACGCTTTCAAACATCTCAGACAATCAGCAGGACTCTGCAACTTTGCAAATAAGGTAAGCAGACGATGAAAGTCGCCTGTCTGTAATTGGATACGCTAAAACTTTAGGATTGTCTGTAGGCGTTTCACAGTGTTTTTATAGTTTAAATGGAATATACAATGCATATTTTACTATGTTAGGAAAGTTATATACAAAACGTAAACGTGGATCGACAGGTAGACGAAAGTCCTGCGTGACGTAAAATAGAGCAGTTTGGCGTGGATCTGCAGGTGTTTATTCCTGAGTGGCGTAGAAATGGTGCAGTTTGTGTGAATGCGAGGTTTGAATCCTGCACGGCAAAACCTGAAAACTCGATATATCAGATCGAGTCGCCGTTTAAAACTGGGGTTTAAATAACAGACCAATGCTAAAAGCTTAAAGCCAGAGGTCTGTTATATATTAAACCAAGGTAGAGCGTTTCCCTTTGTCTGGAAACTTCTGCTGCTGCCATCTAGTGGCTGAAAGGGGGTATCACACCCTTGAAACTTCTGCTGCTGCCATCTAGTGGCTGAAAGGGGGTATCACACCCTTGAAACTTCTGCTGCTGCCATCTAGTGGCTGAAAGGGGGTATCACACCCTTGAAACTTATGCGAGCTTAGAGTTTAATCATTACATTGCTGGCCGGTATTGAAGACGGGAAGCACGTTCCCAGTATATTAATTATAACTGATTTTGGTAAACTGGTACAAAACAATAAGGGATTGAACATTTTTTACAACGACAGCACCAGGAGATGAGTAAACTCAAGAATCTGTAGAGTGTAAATACATTGTGCAAAACACATTTTACACTCGAACTGTTTGCAAATGTAGACAATATAAATAAATGTTCAGAAAGAAGACATAGGCCTACACTTGATTCAAATTTCATTACTGTGATCCGATTGGTGTGCTCTGCAGGTTTACTATTGTTCGAAGTAACAGTGGGATTTAAAATGAGAGAAGATATGGAGATGTTCTTTCATAGTGTGTGGAATATGTGATGCTGGAAACATGTAAGTATTTCGGAGTTGTGTTGGGTAAATATGTAACAATGGATGAAACAATTTTTGGAGTTAGTTTTTGTAATATCATAAGTAGACATTAATTATGTTGTTTAGATGGCATTTAACAACTAAGACAGATAGTATGATTAGAAAGAGACAGAGTGGAAAGGGTTGGATTTATTTAACATCAGTGTGCTAGACTTCTTATAGGTAATGTGTACCGGGACCTGGACTCCCCCTCTGAGTTAGAAAGGCTTTGATCCCGACCCTCCAAGCAGACAACGAGACCTAACCCAACAGGAGACTCCTCCTTCTCCATCGTACAGACAGAGAACCAGAGCTGAACCAACAACGACCTGAGGCATCCAGAACCAAACCAGTATGCTGACAAAGAGGCAAACTCTCATCGGTCCCTCAAACAGGACATGAAGTTCCAAACTGCGCCGCGAGATTTGGCACAATAGACATGAGAGCAGAATCCGCCCTCCATAAAAACAGCAGAGAGACTGTAAAGGAGGAGTGCAACAACAGTGGCATGATGGGGCTGCAGATGTGACTGGGCCAATGGCTGCCTACAAAAGTTACAGCGGATGGATTCAACAGCTGATGGACTGAAGAGAAGACAGAATCAGAGGAGTTGGCATGGTCGATTAGAAGTGAGGAGGCCGGGGTCACGGCTTGAGAAAACCAGGGGAGGAGGAAAGGAGAACGGGAATGAGTGAGTTACACATAAACACACTTATTCACGAAACGCACATTTAAATAACTTGAATTAACTTCATAAAGACAGAAAGATTTATTAATCATTTGGTAAATTAAAAATAGCAGTAAAGAGGAAACTATTAAAGTAAAATGATAATCATCCTAAAACACACTGACAGAGTAGAACCATATTCTTCAATATTTTCATCATGTTAACAATTCATTCTTTAAGACATTTTTATTCACGTGTGAATAAAGTAGCGGTCTCATTGGTTACAATATTGATCACCATTAAAAGGATAGTTTTAGGAACCACTCTATAGGACAAATCTTTGTTTGTATTAATGGCTAGTGCCAAGCCACATATTAAATTCCAATCTAAAGTGTTGATTTCACCATTGTGGCATAGTTATTACCAGACTTCGGTTTTAAATCCTTGATAAAGGAGGGAGTAATTGTTGCATGTTCGGACACCCAAGGTTCCACACACTGCTAAAGAGTTTAACATCGTTTTTTAAGTAGACCAGAATTATAATGAGCTATGAAATGCAGAGCGACACAGATCCTAGTAATGTTTTGACTCAAGATAATAGTTATTGTACACAAGTTTCTGAAATAGATCATTAGACATTTTAATTAGTAGTGGTACTCGAAGGAAGTGAGTTTTGTACCAAGTTTCAGGAAAAGTGGGAGGCGGAAGTCCCAATGACAAGTGAGAATCATCTTGAAAATTATAGTTGAAATCGTGACATATTTTTGTAGACAAAGGATACTGGCCTATGCTGAAATGTCAAAGTCTCTGCAGAGCACGACACATGGCCAAAAAAGACGGAGACCAACTGACCTTTGACCCTGACCGACAGTGTAACTTGACAAGGCACTGTGGATGACTGACTCTGGGGTGAACCTGACCAAACTTGACATGACAACCAGACAGTGTGAGTGTGAATGAATGCCGGCATGTGATCAGTGTAACTGCATGATTCTAAAACAATAACTAACCAAGCATGTTTTTGGACTAACATATTATTTTGGAGCTCCAAGGGAAACGAGAGGTTTCCTAAAAATTCCACAAAAAGGGGAAACCGCACATGTGATATTTTCCTCTCACATGAGTTGGCGGTTTGCAAATGTAAAATCTGAAGATTCTGTTTCTTTTAGGCCTGAAGGACGGAGAGGAACACTTCTTTTCACTGAAGTGTTCACTGTGGAAATAATGATAATAATGTTCGTTATGTTCCTAACCAATTACCTGACAGTTTTTGTTCCCCTCCCATTACAGGCTTGTTACACATGATTTCATGTGTAAAAGGGGGGAGTGAGTATAATGTATAAATGTCAACATGGCTGTAAAATTCACAATTTACATTTTTCTTTTAAGGATTGAGCATTGAATGTAATTAACCTGCTCCATATCTGGGGATAAGATACTGTTTGATGAAGGTTGAGATGTTTCTAAATATTGATTTGAATTATAACAGGTAACAAAGAAGCAGTGGCCAAGGGGCTACTGTGAAACCGAAGAAGTTGACCTGTGATAGTTAAACAATTTTGTAATATTTTAACAGACATTAGAGTAACTGAGGTTTGAAATGTAGAAAGAACATATTACAGTTAAAGCTAAAACATAGTAGTGTATTGAGACAGAATTTAATTTAGACAACATCATGTAACTAGCCTGGTAAAGAAGTAAAAGCCATATACTTTATTGCTTGGGTCATTATAGGGATATACATTTCATCTAAATTTATAATAGAAAGACATTTGATGACAGTTTGTTGGAATTCTGTATTCATTTTTTCAGCGTGATAATATCTAAGCACTGACAGGTAAGAGCAGTATCACCAGGAAATCATTCACTTTGTTAGCATCGTGATTTTGGTTGTTTTTGAATCCATAACATTAGTGTGTTTCTTTACCAGAAACATTAGCAGTTCATATTAGATTTGGATTTTAAATAGGATTTCATTTAAAAATAAACACAGATGCTTGTCAGAAATTCAGAGCTATTGAAATATGTTATTTAGTTTACCTAAAGATGTTGAGGTTCTTATTTAGTTGGCACAATCCAAG